TATATATATATATATATATATATATATATACAGTTGACTCTTGAACAGCACAAGTTTGAACTGCGTGGGTCCACAATAAGTATATTGGAGATTTTTTGGGAGATTTGTAATAATTTGAAAACAGAGATGAACTATGTAGTCTAGAAATACTGAAAAATTAAGGAAAAGTTTGGTCTGTCATGAATGCATAAAATGTACATAGATACTAGTCTATTTTATCATTTACTACCATAAGATATACACAAATCTATTATAAAAAGTTAGATTTTGTCAAAACTTAGGCATACAAACACAGACCATGCATGGCACCATTTATAGTTGAGAGAAATGTGAACAAATGTAAAGATACAGTATTGAGGTCATAACTGCATAAAAGTAACGGTAGTCCATACTATACTACATAAGAATTTTGTAGCCACCTCCTGTTGCTATTGCAGTGAGCTCAAGTGTTTCAAGTATTCTCTTAACATGCTGTGTGACCCTAATCATCTTTGCATAAAGAGTCTGTCTCCCCAGTAAATTGTGTATGGCAGTAGTTCAGTTTTTGGGGAGTCAAAAGTTATATGCAGATTTTTGATTATGTAGGAGGTTGGCGCCCCAAACCCCTGTGTTGTTCAAGGGTTAGCTGTTTATTATGGATATACCATTTTATTCTTTAAATGCTATTTTAAATAATGTCAATGAATTTAATTAATTTGATTTTAATATCATTAATTAATTTTTTAAGAAGATTGTATTTTACAGTAATTTTTACGCTCAGTGTGGGACTTGAACCCACAACCCTGAGATCAAGAGTCACATGCTCTACCTACTGAGTCAGCCAGGTGCTCCTATTAACACTTTAAATAATATTTTAATATACACATTTTTAAAATAAGAGAGGGCTTTTAGAGCCCTCAAAATCACTTTGTAGAGGTAACTGGCTTCTTTGGCTCTAGGGGAGGAGCAGGGAGAGAAACAGTCAGGAGACCATTTAAGAGACCACTGAAATCAGAGCCTACATTCAACTTCCTAGTGGCCATATTTTCCCAGAGATGCTCGCAAATTCAATCTTTCTTTACTAGAGCTGCCACTGCATCCTTTTCCTAGGTGTGCACCTTGGAGGTGAGGCTGTATATCCACCTGCCCAGGTGTTCTTAGTCTGTGCCCTGTTCTTCCAATGAGGACACCACAGACCCCTCAGAGAAGCCTGAGGATCAGTCACCGCTCTGAGGCTGGACAAATCTAGAGTGTAACCTAGACATTAAGTAATAAATTTTGAAAGCATTCCATTCTTATTGATTCAATTATATATTAATTCAGAGTTGGATGAGGGTTTTAGTTATTATTTTTTTAAAGCTTTTTTCTTTTCCTTTTTTTTAAACTGAGTGAGTGTCTTGTGGCCAGCTGCTCAGGGATTCTCCGGGCTTGGTAGCAGGGCAATCACCATGGCTACCATTGCCAGGGCAGGGCTTTGACTGGGGTCATGGTCTGCGTGGTAAGGAGCACACAGCCTTGCTGAGGTGCCCATGGCTGGGAGAGTTTCAAGACTGTTTCTCTGTTTTTCTTAAAGTACAACAAGCTTGATTCTCCCCACCCATCCAGCTCCAGTGAGCTGCAGGGCAGGGGAGCCCTCCCACCGGGGGATCAAAGAAAGGAAGAACTATACACACTCCCTGAGACAGCTACAACTTGCACTTTTCACACAGCCCCTACCATAGTAAGACTTGCTGGAGAGAAGACCAGCTCCAGCAGGGGAGGTTGTGTAATGGAACGAGCAGCTATTTAGAGGCACTGCAAATCCTTTCCCATCCCTTTCCTTTTTGAGTGAAAGAAAAGACTTTGCACAGGGTGCAGAGGGTTACAGAAGGCTCCCTATGCTTCTAAACTATCCCTTCATTCTATGCAGAAAACCCAGAGAATTCTCTTTCTCTGATCACAGACACCACAGCCTCCTTCCCTCTCTGCTCCATCCAGGATTACCCAGAGCAGCCTCGTGGGTTCCTGGAAGAGCTGCTCATTAGCAACTAGAGAGAAGGGTAACAGAGATGCACCTCCACACTCTCCTCCCATTGTCCACCACAGATCTTGGCTCTCGTGTCATTTCTATTACGATAGTGTCACCATACATTTGGCATCCAATAAACAGCTGGGCAGTCATGTGAGCCATCGCATTTTTCATCGCCTTTTGTATTTGCCAAATTTAAGTACATTAATAATTATTCCTAAATATAAATCACCAAGCATGAATCTATATTATGTATTAATTGTAAATTGTTACCCCATTCTATTTAAAATAATAATTATATTGATTTATTAATTGAAGAACTTACTGTGTGTGCTGAGCCCTGGGTTAAGTACTTTACGTGACTTTATTTTTTTTTTAATTTAAGCATCACTGAAATCTAAAAAGATGGTTATATTATGTTCATTTTACAAATGAAGAGATTAAGATTCAGAGAGTTTAAAAACATATCCAAGGTCACACAAGCGTGCAACACATAGTGGAGCAAAGACTCAAACCCAGATTGAGTCCTGACCCCCATGATCACCTCCCTTAAAGCCAGGGTAGGTTAAAATCTGTGGCACGTTAAAAAGTTAGCTGTTTCCAGCATGAGAAGATAGAGACTGAGTGACATAGACCTGAGGTTGTCAAATAAAAATTCGGATATAGAGAACATGAAATGGTTCTTTGTAACTCCAAACACTGAAATAAGAGAATTGCCTTTTCGAATGTAAAATAAATCTGAGGATGAACAGAACCTGTGGATTTCTTAATCCTGTTATGGGTAGTAAAGATAGAAAACTTTTGGGTAAGCCAAAAATAGAAGTAGGTTCAAGGAGATCCTGCATGAATTTGTTGATCAGAGCACAAAGCACTTCCTTTTAAGTGTTGGGTTGACTATGAAATTATCAATTTTTGTTTAAAAACAAATATTAATTCCATATGGTTCAACTTAGCTAGAGGCTTATGTCTGGCTTTTATCTATAAAGTATACAGAAACTATGCACAAAGTTAACTGTAATTCCATTCACCAAGACTGGATACAGGACACAAGGATCCAGTGCTAAAATTTTTGGTTTGGGTTTTGTTGAAATTTCAGGAAAATAGCTCTTTCTCTTCCTAGCCTTTTGTATGTTTATGTGTTGGGGGGTGGTTGGAAATGTAACTTTTCAGATTCATGTCTCTTTGGTTGTCACAGAACTGGAAATTGGGTTTTAGTGTTCTTTTTGCTCTAACCATCTAATAGACCTATGGCAAAACAACAATGCATTAGGAATTCAGTTTAAACATCTGTCAGATGAGGATATGTGTACCTTTCAGTTCTAAAACTTGACACAGTGTTAAGAATAAACAGCTGGCTTTTGCTGCCAGAATTGTCAAAGTCTGGTCCTGAATCTTTTCTCCTCTCAGTATGGTTTTTCAGAATCCTAGGATCAACTCTATCAGATACAGATACACCAACTGGGATGGGATTCTTCACCTGGAAGGCATGCAGCGGGGTCTGGGTTGCCAGAGTTAGCCAATAAAAATACAAGATGTCCAGTTAAATTTGAATTTCAGATCAACCATGAGTCATATTTTAGAATAAGTATATCTCCTGCAGTATTTTGGGACATACTTATACAAAAAGTGGTTTGTGCTTTATCTGAAATTCAAATGTAGTCTGGGTGTTCTGTATTTTATCTAGAAACCCTGCTTGGGTTTTAAGTGAGTCCATGAATTCCATGGAAATTTCTAGAATATTATGAAACATGTTATGCATGTGTGTTTATGTGTCTTCTTCTGTGGAGTGGGCCTAGAGTTTACACGAGGTTCTGAAAAAGACCCCTGACCCAAAATAGACCCAGAACCACTGGGCTGAAGACGGTGCAGACAAGAAATGGTGACGTAATTCTACTCTCTTTGAGGATCGGGCAAGTCCCTGTGAAAGAATTATCCTAGAGGGAAGCTCCTCTTGGCCTGACACAGCTCTCAGATGAAAACCTCCTACCACTGATTATAGAAAAGAATTGTCGCTTTATATTTAAGAATATTCTCTTTTCTCCTGCCTTCTCCTCCTGCCTCCTGGGAGAGCCCCTCCACAGGGCAAGCTGAAAAGCCATGAGTGCTCAAGTGTCACTATCATTCTCATGCCAGAATGAGCTGGGATCCCAGAATGTGTCCTTGCCAAAGGCGCAAATCAGCTGTGCCTTCCCCCTGTCCTGTCACATTCCAGTCACTGCATCTGTCCCAGCTCATCAGCACCAACTCCAGGAATAGAAACACTCCAGCTTCTGCTGCTTGCCATTTTAAGTTAAGTCCATTAAGGGGGGTTTTCCACTTCACCGTTTCACTTCTAACGTAAAACAGAGGTCAGGATAGCCATGGGTGCACATCAAGAACAAAAACTCATTTTATGGTTAAATAAAACATGTGTTCTTTTTATAGGGGGAGTTTCTATTTTGCCAATAGGAACATTTCTGGGAATTCGAGGAGTCTCTGATTTTTGTGCTACCAATTGAGTTGAAACTGATTGCATTTCATCTAAACATATCACGTACTAAATGTTTACATGGTTCCTATAAAAATGAAGATGGAATTCTAAACTTCAGAACAAAACCTGCGGATTTTACTTTGTCCCTCCTTTCTCTATAAAATGAAGGAAGAAAAACATGCATTAGGCTTTAGAGACGGAAACTTATTAATGGGCATGACAAAGTAATTTTACTTTCTAAAGGCATTCCTCTCATGCATTTCTATTACTATGACATTCTCCTGATCTCTGGCGTTCCTTACATTTCGAGAGAATGTGTGCTGGCTCCCAATTTCAGATCCAGAACATGACCAACGTGGCCCGGTTGTAGACTGCCTGTCAGCGACATAGCTCCACCACCACGAGCTCGCGGACACCTCCACCCTCTCCCACCCACACACCCATACACACCCTCAATTCTAGAAGACAGGGATTGGAGATCGTGGCCCCAGCTCCTTACCCTCCTGTGTGGCGTCTGGACGTGTGATGATGAGTTTTCAGCAGCAGGCTCCTCTTGGGAAGCAATCTGTGGAGAGAGAGGGAGAGGGACAAGGAAAATGTGGTGGGGAGCCACCAGCAGCCACCTGATGAGTCCCAGCAGCAGCACTTTCTGAAGCGACCCTGGGCGGTCCCAACTGGATGAGGCAGCACAGCCCACACTCCCCCAGCCAGCCTGCCTCGGAGCGGGCGCTGCAGTCCCCTCTCCCTCTTTGGCCTTCAACTCTAGGCCTCCTGGGGCAGAGGCGGGGCTCTGGTTGGTGGAGAGGGGTTGGGTTTCTTGACCTGCTCAGTTGTCTAAAGAAAAAAAAAAAGTCAAGAGTCAGTCACCCGGGGTGGGAGGAAAGAAAATTAATTAGGTGGGAGTTGAATTGCTGGAAGCAGGGATTTCAGGGTACATACTTGGTAAGAAGAAGGGAAGTTTGTGAATAAAAAATGAGCTTCTAGAAAGGTAAATCGCCTGGTCACCTCAGGTCCTCTGAAAAGATAGAGTTTATAAATAGGCTGTTCTTTAGAAGAGGAGCGCATGTTTAGGAGGACAAGGTGCTTTCTTTGATACCTCACATGTGGCATCAACATGATTAGGGTCATGGTATTGTTTCACAGACTCAGGTTTGCGACCAGTCCTTGACTCTCCAGTGATCCATAGAGAGGTCTGAGGCTAACACACACTCTAGCACACACGCAGGTGTAGAAATATCTACTTTGGCAACACTCCATGTGGAAAACAAACAAAAAAATCAAAGGATTACAACTGACTACAAGTTTTTAATAGATGCCAAGGGTGTGAAATGGCTGCTAAGAGTTAAAAGTGATATTAGACTGCAATAATGGAAAAATAGATCATGGAAAATTAATGTTGTGATTATTCTTCATTAGTCGGATGCAAAGGCATCGCTTTGCCCGTTGGCACACTGGGAAGTTATTTTGCATCCTGAAGGAGGTGGTTGGAATGAAGAGAACTTCAGAAGCTGTGAATATTGGGACTATCTGAAGAAAATACCAAAAGAGGACTCAGGATGGATGAAACTCCTGTGGCAAGTGTATTGGGGGTTGTTGTGCAACAAGGGGATTCAGTGAACATTCTTATAGCCTATCATGGCAGAAATTGGGCCCGATGGGTGGAAATTCCAGGGAAATATTAAAAATAGGGAAAGAAAACTCTGATAGCAACTGGCTTCTAATGATAAAAATGGGTCCTAATGATGAAAAGGAGCCAGTTCCTTATGAGTGGAAGAGGGGAAGATAAAAGAAGCCAGACTGGGTGATGTAGGGACTCTCGTTCTGGCTGGGCACCTGCATTGGATCATCCCTGATATCTTTCCAACTCTAAGACTCTATGATTCCATATGTATTGGCTTCTAGTCCTTCCACACCTCTCAGCTCGCTGGTTAGCATCTTAGTTACCACTTAGGCTTAAATTCCATTCAGCTTTTTAGCAGGGAAAACTATTTTGATTTTTTTAAAAAAATTCTTTGTTTTCACCCATAGGTCTCCAGCTTCAAATGTGTCAGAAGTCAAAGAAGTTCTTTATTGTATGGTTTACACAAAGCTAACAGAGGACCACTCCCAAGTGATCCTTCATGTTTCTGCCTCCTTGATTCCAGTCAAGGACCAAGGCATTTGACTCTCTTCTTAGTAGTATGATAAAAATCAGCTTTAGATCAGTATTTATGATAATGATTATATGATTATGGAAAGGCCCTTCAAGAAGTAAACAGAAAGTACCTGGGAACCTCGTTAAAAATCAATTTTGATGAGGTAGGTCTGGGGTGGGGCCCGAGATTTGTTTTTCTAACAAGCTCCCAGGTAGTGCTGATATTGCTGGTCTACAGACCACACTTGGAGTAGCAAGGATTTAGAATGCTTTGGCTACCTAACACCTGAAGGAAAAGGATTTGTTAAAAAGGCAATAAAAGCCATTCTATCAGAACATATTCAATGTTCTAATACCAAATCTACAAGTCCACCAGGAAGAAGTCTAAAACCTTTATTTCTTTGCCTTGTTAAAATGGAACAGCCCTCCTTCTAAACCCAGCCCCTGCACTGGTACTTTGGGTTACAGATATAACCACCTGTTCAGGAACCTTGCTGTATCAGTTCATCTTACTCTCCTCTAACCCACCCCCCCGCCCCAGCCACCTCCCCGTCTCTGCTGGCCAATTTCCACCTCTGTTTAATGGCACACAAACTCTTCTATTTAAAACAAGTGCAACAAAACAAAGCTTTTAATTTAGTCCATCTTCTCCTCCAGATGAGGCCATATTTCTCTCCACTTCTTCAAAGGCAAACTTTTCAGATGTATTGTGCATATTTATATCTGTAGCCTCTATCATGTTGCTTCCCATTTTCTCCTCAAATCAATCCAACCAAGCTCCCCTGTTTGCCCTTCTATGGAAGTGCTTGTGCCAAAGTCATAAATAACCCTGAGTCACCTCGTTTTTTTGGACATTTGCCAGTGCCTGACCTTTCTGAATTACTTCACACAGTTGACCAATCACTTTGACTAAAAATTCTCTTTTCCTATTGGTTTTGACTTTTCTCCAGTTGCTCTGGTCATTTCTTCTCATTCTCCTTTCCTAGAAAAAGATCTTCTATGCAACTCTTGCAGGTTAAAGGACTTGAGAGCCATCCTAGACTCTCTTCACTTCTCAAAGCTGCATTTGGCAGATGAGCTCATACATCCTTAGATATTCCACAGGGTCCTTAAAATTCATTATTGCCAAGACTCAAGTCATCTTTTCCCTCAAAGTATGCTCTTTCTACAATATTCCCTTTGGTAGTATATAAGCCATTACTCATCTAGTTCCTTAAAGGGTGGACTTGGGATCATCATTTGCCTCATCCTCTCCACCCTGCACCTCTGTCTCCTCATCTCATTATTCACCATGTCCTGTTATTATATATCTGTAATATTTTACCTCCTGCTACCATTCTGGTCCCAGCTATTACTACCTCTCACCTGGACCATTGTGAAATCCCCCAAAATGGCCGTCCTATGTCCACTCTTGCTTCTTTCCAATCCATCTTTCACGCAATGTAGCCAGAGTGGTATTTTCAGATTTCATCATGTAACTTCCCTGCAGAAAATTCAATAGCTTTCCATTTCCTCAGGATAGAGTCCCAGATCCTTTTCTGGCTTACAGTGCCTTTCAGCCACCTGATCCCTGATTTCCTCTATGATATCTTCATAGTCTAGCAAAACCAGCCCTCTTTAAGTGCCTCAAATATACCACATCTCTCTCCTGCCTTAAGGTCATCGTACTTGCTCCCAAGATGCTGTCTATTTCCCCTTCCACTTCACAGTTCAACAACCCCTCATTGGACTATCAGTGCCATAAATGACAAAAGCTAGCACATACTTATTCTGTACTAGGTACCTGTGGTAGGTAGCATCTAAGATGACCCCTAAATGATCTCTGTCCCCTGGGATTCATAGCATTAAATAATCTCTTAACGTTCAGCAACTTAATTCTAAACAATAGAATACCTTAACATCAGGGGGATATGATTTCTATGACTAGATTACAAAAGATTCTGACTTCCACCTTAAGGGCAGACTTTCTCCCTTGCTGGCTTTAATGAAGCCCAGTGTCACACCTGAAATACTCAGGCAAGGAACAGCCAGCTAGGAAATGAGGCCCTTTGTCCAACATTCCCCAAAGATGTGGGATCCTGCCAACCATCCCTGCATGAACTTGCAAAGTGGATCCTTCCTCAGTTGAGCCTTCAGATGAGACGTCAACCCTTGTGAACATCCTGGATAAGCACAGACAGGTGGGTAAACACAGTGTGCCACCCCTGGTCAAAGCCATCGGCTTGGAGATCAAATGTTGTATGTTGGCCAAAGCTCAAGAGAGTGCTTCAGTTAAAATTGGGGAGGGTGAAACTACTAAGGACTAGCTTTGCCCCCCTGTCACCCTTCTTTCTGGCACCAGGGATCCCCAATGTGCACTAATGTTGTATTTTGAACATGTCAAAATCTGTCCATTCGAATGTGTCATACATGGTGTTTGTGGCCTTGGCTGACATGAAGCTGTTCTGTGAGGTTTGTTTCTCAACTAATCAAACTGTGCAGTACTTTGTGAAGTACTTTGATTTCATGAATGAGAGACTCTAGTTAAGCTCTGCTTGGATCTCTGACCTACTGAAACTGTGAGATAATAAATGTATATTGTTTTAAACTACTAATTTAGGCAACAATAGGTAACTGATACAGTACCCTTCATGTGCTTTTCCTTACAAACTAAGATAGTCCTCACACTATTTTTATCAGATAGGATTCATGTTTTGTAGATAAGAAAACTGAAGAACTTTTAACTTATCCTAGGGCACATGCTGGTAAGGGATGGAACCAAAATTTGGACCCACATTGTCAGGCTCCATGATCTGTGCTTTTAACCACTTCATTTTGCATGAAGCAGTGACTGTAACTGATTTGTTTATAACTAAGTCCCAATCAACAACACAGGGTTTGACATGTACTAGTGATCAACAGTTGGTTAATTCATTACTTAATTTAGAAAATTGTTAAATGGGTGATGAATAAATTTTGTTTTTGTTCATGCAAAGGAATTTTATAAGAGTATTTTCAGTATAAGTGTGCCTTTTTTGTCTCAAAGATTTTTTTTTTCATTTTGTGGTATGCATGAATAGAATAGGCTACATGCTAACTGACTGAAAATTACAGGTGCATACCGACAGCATTTTTCACAGGACTAGAACAAACAATCCTAAAATTTGTATGGAACCACAAAAGACCCTGAACAGCCAAAGCAATCTTGAAAAAGAAAAAAAAAGCTAGAAGGATCTGAATCCCAGATTTCAAGTTATACTACAAAGCTGTAGTAATCAAAACAGTGTGGTACTGGTGCAAAAATAGATGCATAAATCAATGGAACAGAATATAAAGCCCAGAAAGAAACCCACGATTATGTGCTCAATTACTCTTCAATAAAGGAGGAAAGAATATACAATGGGAAAAAGGCAGTC